AGTGGAGAAAGCAAAAAAAAAATTGGCCTTATTGTTTGTGACATGTGATGAAGATGGAGTCTGAACGGGTCAGATTGTAACCGCTGGTTAAACTAGTCATCAGAGGTGGAAAAAGTACTAAAATATCATACTCAAGTAAAAGTACCACTACTTGGATGAAATATTACTCAAGTACAAGTAAAATGACCCATCAGAAAAATTACTCAAGTAAAAGTAATAAGTAGCTAATTTAAAATGTATTTTAAGTAAAAGTTACTTAGTTACATTTAAAAAAAAAAAAAAAAAACTGTTGTCAACCTCGCCAAGATAGTGCTGCGGGAAACACTGACTTAAATGAAATACTTAGTTTTTTTTTTAGCAATTTATTTTCCCAAGCCACTCAGGGCCGCAGTATAAGGATGAAAGAGACGCACGCGGCTCCGGAGCCGTGGGTTGCTGACCCCTGTGCTAGAAAAAAATTAGCAATGCCACGAAACAGGTTGTTTTGCTAATTGGCTGTTAGTCATGAAAACTTTGTTTGAAGTACCAATGCACTAAATACTTACCAAAACATGCTTCCGCAGATTAGATGTGGAGTTATTGAATGCTGCCAGTTCAGTCACCTTTGGCAGACACATCTGGCATTGCATGATGATACTGTTGGCCCTCTTGAATTTAAATGAAAAGCAGTCTTTCAAATGTGGCCAAGGATTTTCGTCGTTTTGGTCAGCAGAATTCAATGTTTCAGCTAGCATTTCTAGTGAAACGTTCTCTGAACCGTCGTCGTTCTCCTGATCCACCTCCATCTCGTTCCCAATCTCCTACGGAAAGACTTGGCGCCTGGTAGCCTAGATCTACATGCTGATCACGTCACTCACTGTAGTGCTTCCGGGCCCGATTTTTTGTCTTCCTTTTGGTTTTCCAAAGTTTTTTTTTTTACTCAGTAACGGATGGGATTTGTAATGTAACGAAATACAATACTTCACTCAAAAAGTAATCAAGTAAAATTTAAATTACCGATTTTAAAAACTACTTGAAAAATACAAAATACACAAAAAACCTACTCAATACAGTAACTTGAATAAATGTATTTCGTTACTTTCCACCTCTGCTAGTCATATCCTACGACAGAGTATTAGGGCAGGTTAGATATATATATATATTTTTTTTTTTTCTTTGAGAATAAAGTCGTAACTTTATGGGGATAAAGTTATAATATTACGAGAATTAAGTCATCATTCAACAACCCGTTTAAGAAAGAAAGCTTCCAGAGTCCACTTTGACATCCTGCCCCATTTGATGCTGGTGCTAAAAGATTTTCTTATTTGTCAAACCAGCGCCAACGAATAACTTTACATGATGCTCCATATTCCTCATTTTAGGGAAGAAAGGCTTCTTGTAAGAGTTGTTAAAAAATATAACTTGTTTCTCATAACTTTACGACTTTATTCTCATAATGTTACGACTTTATTCTCATAATGTTACGACTTTATACTTGTAATTTTACACCTTTATTCTCATAATGTTACGACTTTATTCTTGTAATTTTACACCTTTATTCTCATAATGTTACGACTCTATTCTCGTAATGTTACGACTTTATTCTCATAATGTTACGACTTTATTCTCATAATGTTACGACTTTATTCTCGTCATGCTACGACTTTATTCTCGTAATGTTACGACTTTATTCTCATAATGTTACAACTTTATTCCCGTAATTTTACAACTTTATTCTCGTCATGCTACGACTTTATTCTTGTAATTTTACAACTTTATTCTCGTAATGTTACAACTTTATTCTCATAATGTTACGACTTTATTCTCATAATGTTACAACTTTATTTCCGTAATTTTACGACTTTATTCTCGTCATGTTACGACTTTATTCTTGTAATTTTACGACTTTATTCTCTTAATGTTACGACTTTATTCTCATAATGTTACGACTTTATTCTTTTCATTTTACAACTTTATTCTTGTAATGTTACAACTTTATTCCCGTAATTTTACAACTTTATTCTCATAATGTTACAACTTTATTCTCGTCATGTTACGACTTTATTCTTGTAATTTTACGAATTTATTCTCATAATGTTACGACTTTATTCTTTTCATTTTACAACTTTATTCTCGTAATGTTACAACTTTATTCTTGTAATTTTACGACTTTATTCTCATGTTACAACTTTATTCTCATAATGTTACGACTTTATTCTTGTAATTCTACGACTTTATTCTCTTAATGTTTTGACTTTATTCTCGTAATGTTTTGACTTTATTTCGTAATGTTACGACTTTATCCTTGAAAAAGAAGAAAAAAAATCTCTAGCCTGGTGCTAATACTCTGTCGTCGCCGCAATATCCACACCTATGCTGCTGTTGAATTTAACTTTTTGGATTCACATATTCTACCTGTTTTTTTATTAAGCTGTGAAAAGTGGTGTCTAAAAATCTGTTTTTCAGTCCAGTCTTTAGTGTGTTCCCAGTTAATTTATGTGTGTACTGAAATATGCCTCAAAATGATCTTAAAGTCTTAAAGTCACATTCTATGCCTTTACAAAAAAAAAAAAAAAAAAAAAAAAAAAAAACAGTTTGGTAAAGATTAAAATAAGGTTATACACTCACCGGCCACTTTATTAGGTACCCCATGCTAGTAACGGGTTGGACCCCCTTTTGCCTTCAAAACTGCCTCAATTCTTCGTGGCATAGATTCAACAAGGTGCTGGAAGCATTCCTCAGGGAGTTTGGTCCATATTGACGTGATGGCATCACACAATTGCCGCAGATTTGACGGCTGCACATCCATGATGCGAATCTCCGTTCCACCACATCCCAAAGATGCTCTATTGGATTGAGATCTGGTGACTGTGGAGGCCATTTGAGTACAGTGAACTCATTGTCGTGTTCAAGAAACCAGTCTGAGATGATTCCAGCTTTATGACATGGCGCATTATCCTGCTGAAGGTAGCCATCAGAAGTTGGGTACATTGTGGTCATAAAGGGATGGACATGGTCAGCAACAATACTCAGGTAGGCTGTGGCATTGCAACGATGCTCAATTGGTACCAAGGGGCCCAAAGAGTGCCAAGAAAATATTCCCCGCACCATGACACCACCACCACCAGCCTGAACCGTTGATACAAGGCAGGATGGATCCATGCTTTCATGTTGTAGACGCCAAATTCTGACCCAACCATCCGAATGTCGCAGCAGAAATCGAGACTCACCAGACCAGGCAACGTTTTTCCAATCTTCTATTGTCCAATTTCGATGAGCTTGTGCAAATTGAAGCCTCAGTTTCCTGTTCTTAGCTGAAAGGAGTGGCACCCGGTGTGGTCTTCTGCTGCTGTAGCCCATCTGCCTCAAAGTTCGACGTACTGTGCGTTCAGAGATGCTCTTCTGCCCACCTTGGTTGTAACGGGTGGTTATTTGAGTCACTGTTGCCCTTCTATCAGCTCCAACCAGTCTGGCCATTCTCCTCTGACCTCTGGCATCAACAAGGCATTTCCGCCTACAGAACTGCCGCTCACTGGATGTTTTTTCTTTTTCGGACCATTCTCTGTAAACCCTAGAGATGGTTGTGCGTGAAAATCCCAGTAGATCAGCAATTTCTGAAATACTCAGACCAGCCCTTCTGGCAACAACAATCATGCCATGTTCAAAGTCACTCAAATCACCTTTCTTCCCCATACTGATGCTCGGTTTGAACCGCAGGAGATTGTCTTGACCATGTCTACATGCCTAAATGCACTGAGTTGCCGCCATGTGATTGGCTGCTTAGAAATTAAGTGTTAAGGAGCAGTTGGACAGGTGTACCTAATAAAGTGGCCGGTGAGTGTATATATCACACATCTCTCCTGATACTGTTTAGTACTTTTTGAGCCTAAATTGACTTCCAGCATCTGGTTAGGTGGAAAGGTTTTTATTTCAGTCCCATTTTTTTCCATGTTTAAAAAAATTAAACAAAGTTGTGTTCAGTGCAGATATTCTGCAATCTAAACCTGCTGCAGGTGGCAGCACATCTTCTCTAATAAGTTCACAAACATTTTAGAACCAAGAGTGCCCTGAAAATACATAAAATGATTTCACTCTAAACTTATAATGGTAAATTAATTCCATCCATCCATATCTGTCACGCTTAATCCCAGCTGAGGTCATGAGGGGTGCTGGTGCCTATCTCCAGCTGTCTACGAGCGAGAGAAATTACACCCATTTTTAAAAATATTTATTTTTTTACATTAATAATTAACTTTATTTGTTTTATTAAACAAGACATTTAATTGTATATCTGTGTATTTTATAAGTTATGCTACATTGAATATTTGAAGCAATAGAATTCAGATTTACGTCTGCTTATTTTCATGATACATTTATTGCTTTCATGGGAAATTCCCATAAATGTATTTGGTGGTATATTTTGTTCGGGCTGATCGATATGACTTCAAATAATCTCTGAATGAGATGAATGAATCTTTTATTTACTTTAAAACAATAAGCTTTTACATCAAATATCCCCTTTAGGAGAAAAATCTTCATTTAAAGGGAGAAGAAGTTCAGGCTTTTAAAATATGAATTAATTAAAATATGACACTATAATATTTATACGCATTATAATATAAAGTGCTTTAATCTGGTTTTTCTATTGTGGTTTATTTGACAGCGAATAGGAGCTGCAGTTTACTTCTGACATGTTTAAATAATGTTGCTGCTGAAACTTTATTGTTTAATGTTGGAGATCAGTTGATCTCAGTAAAACTGAATGAAGTGGAAGAAAACAGGTTTTCCAGGTGGATCTACTCTGAGCCGAAGCGTTTCTGCTCTGAAACCAGCTGACGTCAGACCTTCTAACAGCAGGTTTTAACACGTTTAACAGAAATGATCTCCAGATTATAGAGGACTGATTGTGGCTGTGTTGATGTGAATCTGCTCCCTGGTAGCTAGCTCCCCGCCCACACAGTTAGCTTCTCCGATCTGTGGGTAAAAGTAACTTTAGGCTTGTTGTATTTTTGTGCTATCTGATCCCACAGACGATCACACCAGAGTCCGACTGCAGCTGCTGGACGGAGACCCTCACTCCGACTACATTAACGCCAACTATATAGATGTGAGTAAACACAGATTAAGGAATTATAAAGAAATATACTAATGAAAGAAATCCCCCCCTAAATATAATAAAACTAGGGATGCACAATATAATCGCCCCCCTATCGGTATCTGCCTGTATCGGCCTTAAAACTGAATATCGGACATCGGCCACCCCACCAATATTTAACCCGATATTTGATCAGCTTCTGAGTTTCTAAAGTCTAAAAAAAAATAAAAAAAATATTACTTCTTCTTCTTCCTCAAAAACTTATTTTTTACAGACTTAAAAACTTCTAAAGACGAGTGAAAAAATATTGATACATTAAAATATCACAATATCTTCATATGATGATATACTGCCATTTAAAAACACCATATCAATCTCTTTTACTAATGAAATATTGCTATATGTCATCGTTATGCTATGAAATCCCCCGAAATTCACAAAATTTTGCCATATTTTTATATGTTGATATATTGACGCGGTATCGATCTATTTTACTAACAAAATCTCACAAGAATTTGCAAAATATCACGAGAGTTTGTAACAGAACGATGAAATTTCACGAGATTTTGAAAGTAAAATAGATCGATACCGTGTTTTTAAAAATCAATTTGATATCAGCATATGAAAATATATTTGAGTATATTATTTTTCAAAGTGTCAGAAATGGATAACAAAACTGCTATTTTCAATGACTACTTATTTTTGTCCAGCTTTAACATCGGTATCGATATCGGTTATCGGCTACATGAGTTTTAAAATATCGGCATATCGGATATCGGCCAAAATCCCAATATCGTGCATCCCTAAATAAAACCTCAAATTAATTGAAAAAAGTCAAATAATCCAGAAATTCTTCACATCTAAGAAGTGAGCTTTGAATAACGATGTAAAGAACATGTTTTGTAAACAGAGAATTTAAAAGAATAAAAAAAACTTCATCAACAAAATACTCGTAGAGTATTTGTTGCTGTTTTAGCAGTTTTATTTTTCCTTTTTTTATATATATTTTCCTCATAATTTTTCTTTTTTCAGATTAAGTTTTACAAAATTCTTTCTTTTCAGAAGCATTTTCCAGATTCTCTCCATCCTGGGGGTGGGCTTTCCTCTGGAGCAAAGATGTAGTTCTATTGGTCTGCTGGTTGTTAGCAACAGCATTTTAATCTTGAAGTGAAGACAATGCTATCTCTAAAATGCAATTTGAACAGATTGCAATTCGAAAAACTTGAGCTGAATAAGAGAAAATAAAAAAGATAAAGTTTGAAAACATAAAATCAGTAAAATAAAAACAATTTCTAAAAGACAAATAAAAAAGAAATTTTCTCTCTTAGCCTCCTTTTTTTAATAAAAAGATTTTCAAAGTTTCATTTCTGGATTGTGTGTTTTTCAAATTTGTGCTTTGGGACACATTGAACTCCATACTTTTCAATACAATTTTCCTCTGATCTCAGCATCCAACAGAACTAAAATAGCCAAACCTTAAAATGAAACTTGATATATTAAATTTAAATGCATTGGACAGGATCAACATTAGCTCCGCCCACTGGCTAACCCTGGCTAGCTCTTTCATGAACATTTCTGGGATATTTTAAACCAAAAATACCAGGATCATACAAGGAAAAGACCAGGATAAAAACATTAAAACTTTATACATAAATTTAGATGCATTGGACAGGTTCAACATTAGCTCCGCCCACTGGCTAACTCTGCCTAGCTCTTTCAGTATATGAAATATGAAATATGAAATCAGTAAGAATTCCTAATAGATAAATGAGAAAATACATTTTTACTCTAAACCTTTATTTTTATCAAGGAGTGTTTTGAAAGTTTCATTTCTGGATTGTGTGTTTTTCAAATTTGTGCTTTTGCACATATTGCACTCCATACTTTTCAATATCATTTTCCTCTAATCTCAGCATCCAACAGGCCTAAAATAATCAGCAGTTGGTTTTAGAAAAGGAGGATTATTTATCCAAACTTTAAAATGATGATAAATCTGAATGGTTTGAATTGTGACTTTTTGACCACCTCTTTCTCTCTGTGCTGCTTAAAAACAGCCAGACCTTCTTGTGTTTCGTAAAGTGAGCTTTTGCAGCGGTTCTAAGGACTCTCTCTGGGTTGTTTAATGGCTTTCTTGACATTTTGGCAGCTTTTCACACATTTCCAGTCCACATTTCAGCCTTGAACACAAATTGCTAAATATCTGCTGCAAAAGTGATGAGAGTCTTGAAGCAGAGAACAAAATCAGTCCTTCTCAGATAAACAGCAGCGGCTGTCATGTCTTTAGGTTATAGGAAAAATACAGCAAATATCCAAACTGCTCTACCATCCAGCTGATGAGGTGGTGATTAATCCCTCCTGTTTTAGCTACTCACTCTTTGGGATTTACCTTTTTGGCCATTTTATCTTTTCTTTTTATCATGACATTTAGGAACAGGATATCTCTTCCTAAGAGGCTGCTTTATTATTATTCCCCCTTTTTTTGGGGGAATAATAACTTTATAAATAAAGTATTTTCAAAGAAAGAAAGAACTGAAAAAATAAGAAAGAAAACAATTTAAAAAACATCAGAGCAAGAAAGAAAGACCAGGATGAAAACACTACAACTTAATACATTAAATTTACTTGCACAGCATCAATATTAGCCCCGCACTCTGGCTAGCTCTTTCATTGACATTTCTGGGATATTTCAAACCAAAAATATATAATCAGTAAAATAAACAGAATTCCTAAAAGATAAATGAGCAAATCCATTTTCACTCTAAACCTTCTTTTTTAGACAAGACATTTTTCAAAGTTTCATTTCTGGATTGTGTGTTTTTCAAATTTGTGCTTTGGCACACATTGCACTCCATACATTTCAATATCATTTTCCTCTGATCTCAGCATCCAACAGGCCTAAAATAATCAGCAATTTTCACACATGGTTTTAGAAAAGGAAGTATAGAGGACGATCTTTAATTTCTAGGTTGATCATCTGAATAAGTGGTCCTCCTAATTGTCAGTCATTCTAGTGAAAATGATAAATGCATTAATCCCAGCACAGTTCTATCTCTCTTTATCTCTTTTACTGGGGGAAGTTGGTAGCAATAATTGCATGATTAGTGTTTGGAGAGACCCTGGTTTCACAAACAGGAAGTGGAGATCTCCTTTCAGTAAAGCTGAGTGATTCCACATCTCTTCCTTCATGGTGCCCATCTACATTAAGATCCACAATTCTGAGATTTTAGTCAGAATTCTGAGAAAAAAATCAGAGTTCAGAGATTAAAGTCAGAATTCAGAGATTAAAGTCAGGATTCTGAGATTAAAGTCAGAATTTTGAGATTAAAGTCAGAATTTTGAGATTAAAGTCAGAATTCTGAGAAAAAAAGTCAGAATTCAGAGATTAAAGTCAGGATTCTGAGAAAAAAAAATCACAAATCTGAGATTAAAGTCTAAATTTAGATTAGATTAAAGTTTTTCACATATTAAACTGGAATATGTAGAAATCATTTAGATGACCATTTGTTCCTCCTATATTGTATATTTATATTGTATAGAAATATTCCTATAATTGTTCCTCATATTGTTCCTCCTAAATTGAAGAAACAAGAACTAAACAAACCTATGGAGCAGCATAAGGGAGCCAGCCCCCTTCTTGGACTTTAAGACCATAGGAATAACCTTTGGTGACCAAAACGTTCAGATTTTGGACAGAGAGGACAGATGGATTGAAAGAGGGGTGATATGACATCTTTGTTAAAAAGGAAAAAACATCACTAAACAGAGAGGGAGAAGAATAAGGTTCCAGCATCCAAGCATCTACAGTTCTTACCTGGAACTCACTGAACTAAAATGACATAAAAGCCCTCATCATGGTTCAAATAGCCAAACACTAAACCCAGAAACAATAGACTTCAACATCAGTGATCCAAGTATGGATGGACCTGGTGGAGCTGACAGAAAAAAAAGACTCCTGGATAGAGGAGAAAACATCTTGAAAAAAATAATAGAGCTTGATTTGTGGTTAATATATATCATCAGCAAGTAAAGCTTAAAAGATAAAATATTAAGTTGGTCCAAGTAAGATGCTGTTTCTGTTCCAGTGTATGTCAGAATTTATTTATCATCAATTCATTTTGTATTATTTCGTCAGGGGCCATGGCCATTTCGATAGTTGGCCCCTGTCTAGAACTGCCCATCATATTAGCGACAGCTATGTTCTGATGTCTTCAATCATAAAACAGCACCTGGGTAAATAAAAAAAAAGGAAAAAACAAAGATATTAAAATTAAATTAGAGAGTAGAAGATTTTTAAGGATGGAAATAAGACATAAAATACGACCAGAATTGTATTGAGAATGATGTAAACAACATTAAAAAGCGTTTTAATGTCTCTTTGTTTCTGAATGACAGGGCTATCACAGACCCAGACATTACATCGCAACGCAAGGTAATTAACCCTGAACAATGACTGTGAGTTTACGTGTTTTTAACGTTCTGAATCAACCGCTGATGATGTTTTCTTTCTGATTTGTCCTTCTTGTGTTTCTGTCAGGACCCATGCAGGAGACGGTGAGAGATTTCTGGAGGATGGTTTGGCAGGAAAACTCAGCCTCTATCGTCATGGTAACAAATCTGGTGGAGGTGGGAAGGGTGAGTTCATCTGTACCTTTTAGGATGTGTTGGAGTCCTTTTTGTGCTCGCCAGGCGCTGTGAGGAAGAATCATGTTTGTGTGACGTGTGTCTTCCAGGTGAAGTGTGTTCGTTACTGGCCCGATGAGACGGAGGTGTACGGAGATATCAAGGTGACCCTGATAGAAACCGAGCCCCTGGCTGAATATGTCATCCGGACATTTACTGTCCAAAAGGTAAACCGGTACTCCTCTACCAGTCATCATCCCATACGGTGCAGACCCCCAGTGAAGGTATAAATGGGAAACTGAAACAGATCAATGGAAGCTAAAAGATTCAAAGAAAAACCTACCTTTCCTTTCTTCCCCCCAGAAATCCTCTAAACAGCCTCCCATTTATGTTTTTGCTAACGGTCTGGCACATATACACTAATTGGTAGCAATGTCCAGATTTTTTTAAGCTAAGTAGCGCTATTTTACAGCTTTAGTTAACCTGCAGCCAGGGAGGGGTATTTACCATTAGGCAATACTAGCCAGTTGTCTTTGGCCCCAAGTTTCTGGGGGCCCCATAAAACTCTGTTTACATGTATGGTTAATACAACTAGTCCTTTTTTTGTGCACATTAATTATGTTTTTGATACAAAATTATTTCATAAAAATTTTCAGAAAGGTCAAAACAGACAGCAGCAAACTATTTGAAAACAAACGGTGTGAAGAGCAGTGTTGCCAACTTAGTGCTTTAGTCGCTATATTTAGCGACTTTTCAGACCCCTCTAGCACTTTAATTTAAAAAAGCACCTAGCACCAAATCTACCAACTTTTTTCTGCTACTGGACACTTTGTAGACAACATCTAAAAGCAGCGAACTCTGCTCTCCAGAGCGAGTAGATTGGTAACCCCGCCTCCTGCTCTCCTCTATCTTGTCTGCTGTCATGATTCATGCAGCTATTATTTCATCCAAATGAAAAATGGAGAACAGAGAAGCAGATAAAGGCTTGTCTACAGTGAAAAGAAGGACTGGGTTATTTACTTTTGGAAACACAGGAAGGAGCAATCAGCTAAGTGAGCTTAGTGCTTGGAAAAAATCTTTCATTCCTTTTAAGACAGTATGAAAAATCAGCTGAGCACAAAACATATAGAGGAAAACAAGAAGAAAAGGGACAAGAAGAGAGGGACAAAACATAGAATAAATAATGTTTGTCTATTCTATTAACATTTCTCTATCTGTATAATGGGTCTGTTTGATGTGTTGTCTTCTCAGTTCAAAGGGCCCCCTGTCTGTCTTTGCCTAGGGCCCCAAATTTTCTAAATCCGCCACTGCTTGCATTTTTTTTTTTTTTGCTACTTGCAGCATTTTATCTTTTATTTTTGTTGTGTTTTTCATTCTGTGTCTCATTGTGTTTTCTAGTCCCACCTCTGTGTCTGTTAGTCTCAGTTTTATTTCTTAGTCTCATTAGGGCTGCAACCAACAAATATTTTGCAAATTGATAAAAAAAATTTTTGTGATTAAAAAAAAGCAACTGTAAAATGCTGCCCGATCCAGGAAACACACAGCCAGGCAGATGAGCTCAGAGCCAGCTCCCATGTCAGAGGATGAAGAGAGCACATCCAGCCAGTCACAGTCAGAGAAACAGGACTACATTGAAAAAACAGGCCGATCTCCAACATCTAGAAACAAAGGTGTTGATGGCAGGAGCACAGCTGATATTTCTCTCCAGGATGGAGTCAAAGACAAACAGGAACAGACCAGATACAGGCTGATATTCTATCGTATGAAAGTCAGATTTTCGATGAACGAAATATATAATCATCTGATTATATATACTTTATTGACCAAATTTTTTTATAGGGTCTACAGGTCTGTGTTTGAGGAAAGATAGCTTTATTACATCAGCCTTAAGTCAAAGACTTCTACTTTCACTGACAGAGTTTAAATACCAACATCTTAAAACTTCTTTTTTTCGACTTCAGTCACGGTTTTCTTGCTTCTTTACCCTGTTTCCTACCCCCATCCCATATTCTCCTTTTCACTCATACGAAAAGCAGCTTATCAAGACGAGTCTTGAGGCCCTCGCCATCAGCGCATTTAGGCAGCCATTAATCCATAGCACCTCTGTGTATGCGTGTGCGGTGGGGGGGGGGCTGATGCCTGACATGTCTTTTAGTATGCAGAACACACACTAAGATTCAAAACGTCCCATCTTCCCTCCTTTTTTTCACTCGGATGAAACAGAGGCAGAGAGAAAACAGGTTCCAGGTAACAATTAAAATGCTTCACTTGCAGTGAATAATGAGAGCAGGATCTTAAGGAAAACATTTATTAATGGCACATCCAAAGAGACTAACTGAGCGGAGCAAAGAACGACAACAGTCTCAAAGAAAGAGAAACATGCAAGAGAGAAGGAGAGAGCAGGATAGATGGGGGGAGGGATGATCACAAAAAGGAAGCCTGTGTTTGAGAGTCAGACTCTGCTTTAAAGGAAAGCTGTGGGTGAGAGGGGGATGCCAGGTACTATTTTCAAAGAGTTCATTTTATCTGTGAAAGTAGAATTTTTCACAAAGCATGCAGAAAAGAAGATTGCAACTTTGGTTTCAGCGTGTCAGTTCTTTACTGTGCCAAACAGATGTCACCTTGTTGTCACACGTGTCGCCGAAGAGAAGCGCTTAATGTTGTCCTCCAGCACATATAATCCATTCGAAGTGGATTTAACTAGTGAACGGCTCCCAGAAATAAAGAGAGGAAACACATTTTCAGTATCTAGATGCTGTAGCTGACTGCGGGTATTAAAGTTCAAATAGAAAACACATAGTTTTTAATTTGATAGTAGGTACAAATTTAAATACATCACAAGTGAAAAATGTCCAGCATTTTGTTGTTTATAGCATAAAACAGGGTTTCCGCGGGTCATTAAAAGTCATTAAATAATTTTTTTAACTAATGCCTTAATTGGCATTAAAATTCATTTAATGTGATTATCTTGGCATTCAAAATGCTTTAATAAAAAAAAAGCTACATATTTGTGCAGAACTGCTTTCTGTTGATCATCAAGCTACAGAATTTCAACAAAAGTGGCTGGAAAACGAGGAATTTGGGACATGGCTGCAGCTTGTCGACAGTAATGTCATGATGGGTTCACTGAAGGCGACCCAGTTATGCAGAACACCACTGACGGACACAAGGATGAAGAGTTCAACAGTTTATTAAAGCACAAACACAAAGAATGTACTGATTCTGGTTCGGGGCCTGGATACTGGTTCACCGGAGTCTGCGTGAGAGATAGCACAGTTAGCGGTTTGCTGGCAGGGTTTTACTTCCAGAAGTTCACTGATTGTACCTTGTGGGTTCTTGAGGTTAACTTTGGGAGAGTCACTGTTGGTTCTGGAGAAGGGTTCATCAGCAGAGTCCGTTAGCTGCTTCAGCGTCTCACGTCTTGTTAGAACAGACCTTGGCTTGGAAGTCCCAGCTCAGTCCTGAGCTGCTTGAGGTTTCTCAGAGGGATCTTCAGGGTTTGGCTCAGAGGGTCGGCTCGGCAGGTTAGCTCTTCCAGAGCTTTCTCAGAGGAGGCACAGGTTTCCTGGAAGACAGAGATAATAGTTAGAATCCAGACTGGATTCAAAGTCATGGAGATACTCAGAGGATCTAGGCTTTAGCGCTGACCAACTGGAACAACACTGCGGCGTTGAGGCAAGGTCTGAAGACAGCTTAAGTAGTGGATCCTCTGATGATCTTGACGAGCTGCAGCTGTGCAGGGAGCTCCCTCAGAGGATCCACGGCGGACTCTGCTGGAGAAAGATGGGATTTCTCCAGCTCCCAACAGTACTCCCCCCTCAACGACCGCCCCTTGGCGGTCCGGAAGAGGTAGATGGGCGGGAACGCTCGTACTCCTCGATGAGTGCAGGATCGAGGATGTACGAGCCTGGGACCCACTGGCGATCCTCCGGTCCGTAGCCCTCCCAGTCGACGAGGTACTGCCATCCGCGACCTCGTCGACGGGAGTCCACGATGCGGCGCACTGTGAAGGCCGGATGGCCATCGACCTCCAGGGCGGGTGGTGGGAGTCGGACGGTGGGCACAAAGGGCTCGAAGAAACAGGCTTGATCTGGGACACGTGGAATGTAGGGTGGATTCGGAGGGACTGAGGTAGTTGGAGACGAACAGCTGAGGGGTTGATGACTCGAGTGATCCTATAGGGTCCGATGAATCTTGGGGAGAGTTTTCGAGACATCCCCTTGAGGGGGATGTGTTGATTGACGGACAGCACTGATATCTCTCTCTCATCTGCGGGAAAAAGAGGTGGTTGATACCCGAGCCTGACCTGGAATGGGGATTGTCCAGTGGATGCAGATCTGAGGGAGTTATGGGCATATTCAATCCATGGGAGAAATTGGCTCCAATCCACGGGGTTGTTCGATGTGAGGCAGCGAAGGGTGGATTCCAACTGTTGGTTCATGCGCTCGGTCTGACCATTCGATTGGGGGTGGTAACCTGAGGTGAGAGAGTGTTTGCAGCCGAGCGCAGAGCAGAATGCCTTCCATACCTGGGAGATGAATTGAGGACCTCTGTCCGAGAGGATCTCTTGGGGGATGCCGTGAAGCCGGAAAACATGTTTAATGAGGAGCTGAGCTGTCTGGAAGGCCGTGGGAAGCTTTCTGAGGGGAACAAGGTGGCAGGACTTCGAGAAGCGGTCAACAATGGTGAGTGTAGTGGACATACCTCGAGAGACAGGGAGACCGGTGACAAAATCAATGGCGATATGGGACCAGGGACGCGAGGGAACAGGAAGTGGTTGAAGCAGGCCAGAAGGAGGTTGGTGTGAGGCTTTGATACGGGCACATGTGGGGCAAGCCAACACATACTCCTTTACGTCCTTGTGGAGAGAGGGCCACCAGAAGCGTCTGGAGATGAGAGCTACTGTTCTACTGACTCCAGGATGAGCAGAGAATTTGGCGGCATGCATCCACTGGATAAGACGGGACCTGACAGAAGATGGAACATACACTATATTGCCAAAAGTATTTGCTCACCCATCCAAATTATTGGAATCAGGTGTTCCAATCACTTCCATGGCCACAGGTGTATAAATTCAAGCACCTAGGCATGCAGACTGTTTTTACAAACATTTGTGAAAGAATGGGTCGCTCTCAGGAGCTCAGTGAATTCCAGCGTGGAACTGTGATAGGATGCCACCTGTGCAACAAATCCAGTCGTGAAATTTCCTCGCTCCTAAATATTCCAC